CGGACTTTTTTGTAGACCCTTTTAAGATGTACAATATTGTAGTACATTATTTTGATCTATCTCGTAGGGTTCAGCCAGCGTTTGCAATGTAAGCGCAAAAAATGTGTTTCTTACGACATCACATTAGAAACCTCTAAAATTATCAGTGTTTCCCTACTATATTATGCATGTATTATACATATAAACCTTCCTCTTGAATCACTCTATCTTTTAAAAAAACCGCATCAAAATCCGTTGCGTAGTTTTAAAGATTTAAGCATACATAGGGACAGACAGCAGGAAAGTGACTGTTTTATACTACATATGTAGTGATGTATTTAATTTAGCTTAAACGTATTTTTCTCACTGAGAAATTTGAAAATTGGCCACAAACAGCGCCACAGTCACTTTTGCGCATAGCGAATATAATTCAATATTGAATTTTGCAAACGATATGTAAAATACACAGGAAATAGTAAAAGGAAGTTGGTATATTGTGTATAATTAAATGTTTTGTAATTTCACAAGAATTGTTAATGCAGAACAAGCCATAAACGCTCATTAGAACAGTTTTAGCGAAAATATAAATTTCATCTGTTAACAATACCTACTATAATTTTATCTTTTGCTAAAAATGAATGACGTAAATAACGGCCACTAGAAGATCGTTATTGCCAGTATGATAAAGTTACATCAAAATTAGTAGACAAATATTGTAAATATCATTTAGATGGTAAACTCAAAAATTCCTTAGCATCATATCTGTAAGAAGTTGTAGATAATGTAGAAAACATAGTAACAGTAGCAGATGTATACCGCCTTCTTTTTTATAAGAAATTGTTTTAGTTGATCTGCAATAATGTTAAGTTAGTTTACATTTTCAAAATTTTGCTTTTTTTCGCCATTTGAATTTATTACTTTAACAGACCACAAGTCTGAAATTAAAATTTTTGTTTTATAGTTATTAACCAAGCCATCAAAATTGCTTATTAAATCTTCATAACCAAATGTATTAAATGTTCGTGTCTTTGCTCGTAAACTTTCTTTCTCTTTTCCGGATTTTTTCATATAGAAACTTTATGTTTAGTTAAGTAACTAAGTAAATTTTGAAAAATGCAAGGTACAAATTTCAGTTTTGATCTTATAGGAATTTCTGGGAAATTGCTATTACTTTGAAGATGTTCATCGGTTTTAGTAACATCGTTATCTTCAAAGTGTAAAATGCATACAACTGAATGCTTTGTAAGTGCAAATTTTTTCACGGAATTACTTTTAACCATTCTTGCTTTAAAAATTCATCATTAAAGAAACAAAAAGTAGTAACTAATGTTCCTCCTGCTTTCAATATACTATTAGAATTAGATTTGCATCCAACAAGTACGTGACATTTTATACCTACAAGGAAGTGCAATTTTTATGTTAAAACTAACTGATACTCAAAACTACACTTACTAAACAAGTGACTTATTCACTTAAAATTTAAATTAGCACAAGGCAACAATATAAACAGTTTTTAATAGAAAAAAAACATCAGATTTTCACAGAGCACGTGTAAATATGAATAAGCCCGAGGATGTCCTGGAGTACATACATCGTTCTCGTAGACTCACTGGCTGTGTTGCCTGATTTCCTACTTCACAGCTTGTTAGATAGAGGTGGCTGTGCTCGTGCAGATCAGCTTTAGGTGCTCGCAAGAGAACTCCATTTTAAAGGATGGGCTGGAATAAGGCTTGAAAAATCATTTGCGATCAACTACAACTATTCGTAACTATTGCAACTCGTTTTAATACATTTTGACTGCCTAATTTCTATAATTTCTTGAGGTTCGATAATAGGTTGGGAAAACCAAAATTCCTGCGATTTTGTAAGCCATGTCGGACCCTCTCGCCACATTGAAAGGTTTAAGAATTCAACAGGCATCAGATCACAATATAGTAGGTCCGCCAAGTTGCCTTGTATAGGTATGTGCCTCCAATCTGAACGCTGTATTTTTAATTAAATACTCGCAACTCGTTTAACCACAAATACCTTCAACAAATGTGGTGCAGTTTTGATTCAATTTAATGTTATGGTGTCGGTCCAAAATAATGTTTGGTCTATTTTTGAATGTATTGAATTTTTTATGGACGTATGTAGTTTGGCTAGAAGTAATGCAGCACAAAGTTCGAGACGTGGAATGGTTTGCAAGTTCTTCAATGGTGAAATCCTAGACGCAATACAGTTGTACATGTAATATCCAGACAAATTCAGTGACCGCAAATAAATACGTGCGCCGTAGGCTCGCTCATTTGTGTCACAAAATCCATGCAACTGAGCTTCCTTGGAATGCTGATGCAGAACCTTTCGACCAAACGAGACACCGTTGAGGGATGAAAGCTGTTCAATAAATTGGTTTCAGCGAGAGAAAATTTCTTGAGGCAGTGATTCGTATGAACCTAGTCCCAATTTCCATAATTCTTGCAATATTAGCTTCATTGTTACCACAACGGGCTGGAGAAGCCCTAACGGATCAAATATTTTTGCAATTTCTGAGCAAACGTGACGATTAGTAGTTTTGACAATCTTGGTAGGCTGAACCGTGTATACTTTTGCGTCTTGAGATGAATCCCAATGTTGTACAATCGCGGTCTTGAAGCAGTAAATTGACATTCGCGCCTGGTATCGTGTGCATGACTTCTAGAAACGAGGCTGATTTGAGTCTAAAAATTAGTCGGTTAAATTGTTATGTGGTTATTGATTCATCTTCTTTAGACCATAAAATGCGTAAGAATTGTCGATCGGACTTTTAAACGGAAATTTGTAGAAACATTTTTTCTATGTTTCCGGTGAGCATATAGGTATGTAGACCAAATCTTTCTTTAGAGTAACACAAAGGATATCGTCTTGTATGGTATGGTCGTACATGAGGGTGTCGTTTAGAGAGACACCTGTGCTGGAAGAAACTGACTCTTTAATAGTCGTATTGATTGTTTTATTCATGTAACCCAACTTTAAATAGTAGTTGATGACCGCGGAATATTGTTTTCCGAGATCCGGATATTTTGCCGGTCCTCTTTTCAACGAACGGAGCCTCTTTATTCCATGGTGAATGATTCTCCCGTCTCGTTAAGTTTTTCGTTAAAACTCACACTCCCCTCGTTGAGAATTTGCGATAAACTACAACTGAAACTACAAATAGAATCAAACGAAGAAAAAAAAGGTACGCAAACTGGAGATTTCTTTAAACTTACCAAAAATTTATAGAAGAATAAATGTGAATAAATGACCCAAAGGAACGGGCGCATAGGTGGCCTTTTACAGCACTCCAAAGAATTTTCCAAACGGGATGTCCTTCACTGGTGAAGAGTTGTTCTGCTTAATAGGAACGGCGTAAAATCTAATGGGAATCAACCCAAGAGTTGAAACAACTGATAATTTAGGTACATAGGCGCATTTTTTGTATGACTTCACTTAATTTTTGAGTTTATGATTTTCTAATCGAATCACCATTAAACGAACAGAAATCCTGCTCTATCTATAATCTATAAGTTGTCGCGATATCGAGTGGAGTTAGTACGAGTCAGAGAGTTCGTGGCGATAATAAGAGAAGAAGAGCGAACTGATAAAGTGTTTATATAGTAGTAGCTTATATAATTAATAATAGAAGTGTTATTTAGACAGTAATTTGTTAAATAAAAGTAATAGTAGTGTGAGAAGGAGTTTGAATATGTGACATTTGGTGTCAGGTGTGGGGTAAAAGAGGACCGAAGAAGATTGGAGAAGAAAAATTCCATCGACTATTCCATAGCGTTCAACGGTCAATTTTCTGGAAGTTTCCATCGGCTGCAGAAAACCCTAGCAAGTGGTATATCGTTGGATACCTCTTGAAGAGAGAAGAAAGAATCTGACGTCATAGAAGAATTCCATCGAATTTTCTGGAAGTTTCCATAGACTGCAAGAAACCTTTAGCTTTAGTTCTTTTATGAATACATAAATACTAGATGTGGACTATTAAATATATTACAGAATTTGAAATGGAATGCTTCGCACGCATTGGTTGTTTTCTCCGATGTCATGTTGTCCGATCTCCGATGCCCCCATTTTCGATGGAAAATTTTGTTCAGGATCAATATAATTATTGAAAAGATGGAAATGCTTGTATATCATCAGATGAATTAGCCATCAAATTGTCTGAAAATGCACTTCAAATTCTTCTGAGTATTAAACCACCAGCGTAACCAGAAACTTCTATCCAAATCATAATCTTGATACACTATAGGGAGCCCTAAGCTTTGTATTTTTCTATACTAAATGAAAACGGCAACCTTCTATATGTACACCAGGTCAAATACTCTAAATGTGTTTTAATTTCATAATCCACAAAAACTTTATCTAAATAAAATAATACATCATGTTTTTTACTAATTTTAATAATATACTACTTGTAAGTAGTTTCAGTTTTGTTTGGTAGCAAACAGAAAACCAAAGAAATGTAGTTTCCATTGTCGACACCATGGATTGAAAACAATTGATGAAAAAATCGGGACCAATGCGAAAACGTTCCATCTATGAATATTTTCTTCAAATTGCAAAAAAATCGAAGGTTTGCGATCGTACCAAATATTATAAAGTCTGTTTCGAGTTTATTGACCAAGAGAAACTTATCACCATCAGCACTTCGATTTTAATTGTATAAAGAACAATATGAACTTCCTTGATATTTTTTGGTAAGAAGGATATTATTATCTTATTCTGTATATACTTCTTCGCGCTTTCTCCAAATCCGTTCGAAACAATGTTTCTGATTTTCGTTTTAACCAATTTTGCAGGTTGCAAGAATACATCATCAGTTACTTTTCTTTTTAAATGATTGGCAATGAATTGGTTACCCATTTTTGTTTCCTCGTTGGAGTTGTGCATCACTGTCGGATATTCCAAAATAGTCCCACCATTTATGTCCGTCAAAAAGACCACTTTGCAATCTCCACTTTTTACCACCCTTATATAAGCTTCTCTGAATTTATAACTTTCATGCATTAAAAGTGGTTTGCCTTTCGCACTTAACATGGAATATATACTTACGCAAAATAATTCAATTTTCTTTAAAACGACATTTTTAGACTGAAACCTATAAAGAACATTTTTCTATGATACAGCCCTTATTTATTGCATAATTGCATTTATGCGTCCTCTCTCTATTGTATTTTTAATAAACTTTGGATATAGTTATTATAATCTTCTTTACCTTGTTTCTTATCTATATAAATTCCTTACAACAATAATTTGTAAATTATGATTATTGGGTAAATCCAATTGGCATTGACATTGTTTTTTAAAATACATACAGAAATTTCCATTTCCTTATTATTATAGGTACGCAATGTATTCGTAGAAATATATTGTATTTATATATATACACATTGCATTGGATTTATATACATACTGCAAGATTTACTTAGGAATACATAATATATAAAAACTAATAGTATACAGACAGGTAAACTGAGAATAAAAAGGGTGTGGTAATCTGCTAAAGGCCACACGACAGGATCGGCGAACATATTATTCGCGGTAACGCAATCGTCCTCGCGAGTTTCTTCTAAAAGTACCCATAAGTATCCAACTTCAAACACACGTCCCCACGCTAAATCTTCCTCACCATCCGATTTCTAAAAAAGAGAAAAGCACATAATCGCACTGTGCAACATCACAAACGCTATCATGCGGCTCCACCACTTCTTTTTGGTATGGAAAGAAGCCACGGTGATCTGTTTCCCCAAAAAAGGGAAGCCCCTCAGCTCTCCCTCTAGCTACAGGCCCATCAGCCTGCTCAGTTCGTTGAGCAAAGTAGTTGAATCAATCCTTCTCGATCGGCTCTTAGACCACGTGGAGCAAAACAACCTTCTCCCCCATCATCAACACGGCTTTCGCAGGCATCACGACACCGGCCACCAACTTCTCCGCGTATCCGAATACATTTCCGACAACCTCAACAAGCGGCGTCACACTTGCATGCTTCTTCTTGACGTCCATCAAGCGTTCGACCGTGTCTGGCACGAAGGCCTTATCTCAAAACTCATCGCCCTTAACATGCCACATTTTCTAGTTGGGGTTGTCACATGACACAAAAAGGTTAAGATAGGATATTGCGCATAGTGGGCGAAGCTTATGTGGCGGGATTGACGTCACTCGTTGAGTTATTTCGAATTGCTGGGTTAGGCGAAAGTTCGTTGTGGTGTAGTTTCCAGTGATTTTCGGTGTGATTTTCGATTGAAAAACAGAAACTTAAATAATTTTAGTGACAAACGTATAGTAGTGCTTAACTTATTTCCGAGTTGTGTGGTAGGTATAAGAATCCATCGATAACGAAACAGACTAAACGTTTATTGTTTTAGCACTGTTCTTCTCGAAAATGCGGTGTGCCATATTTGGATGCAATTCGGACAACCAGTCCAAGAAAAACCCATTAGGTAAAAACATTAAATTTCATCGCTTTCCAAAAAACCCCAATTTGTGCAAAGAGTGGTTGCATGCCACAAAAAGAAAGGACAATGTTAACACCAAAACGGCTACTATTTGTTCTAAACATTTTCTGGACAGTGATTATAAAGTAAATTTACAACATCAACTGCTGAAGTACAGCCCTAAATGTTACCGTGGGTTAAAAGACGATGCTGAGCCTACCCAAAATTTACCCCTATCTCAAGTTTCGTCTGCACCATCAACAAGTGGGCATAATCGTACAATTGTCATCCAAAAACGGCAAAAAATCCAACTCATCAATGAGATCCTTCAACCGTCAAAAGACACGTAAGTTTTTAAGCATTTTAATTGGTTATTTTTGACAGTACTATAGTACTATGTGTAGTATTACGTATATTTATTGGTCAATAGGGTAGAAGCAGTAACTGAAATTGATGACGGTGTTGGTATTATTGATAACAATAATGTGGAAGAGGAACGTAGATGTACTGATAAAGGGTGATATTTAAGTTTTTCATTGTTATGTTTATTTCAATCTCTGTCTGTCTTCAGGGTTCAAACTGACCAAGTATATATGGATGATGACATATACAGAAAACTAGAAAATCAATCAAAGGAGATTGAAGAACTGAAGAATCAGTTAGCGGGTGTAAAAAAAATTTTCACTACAAATCAAATAAAAAAAATGAATAATCAGAAGGGAATTAAATGGTCAGTGAATGAAATTTCAAGTGCCATTGCAATGTATTCTGCAGGTCCTAGGGCATACAGGCTTAACTTGAAGAGGGGTTTTCCTTATCCAGCAGTTTCAACCCTGAAGCAATGGTTAAGGAAGATAAAGTTAGAACAGGGTATTCTAAAAAATGCATTGAAAATTGCTGAATTTACCGATATGTGTGAACGTGATCGCGTATGCATCCTTATGTTTGACGAAATGAAAATACGGAAAGAATACCTCTACGACCAGACAAAAGATTATCTAATGCAGCCCTATGATTATGTCCAGGTCGTTATGATTTCTGGCATATTTAAATCATGGAAGCAGCCCATTTTTTTTTATTTCGACTGCAAAATGACGTCGAATATATTAATGGCAATCATTACATTTTTGGAGAATTCCGGTAAAAATATGTGCTGTTTGATATAAAAACAAAAGACGACACGTCATCGGTGCACTAAGTTTATTTGGTATGAACACTAATTATATACTATATACAAATAAAAATTAAAANATAGTACTATGTGTAGTATTACGTATATTTATTGGTCAATAGGGTAGAAGCAGTAACTGAAATTGATGACGGTGTTGGTATTATTGATAACAATAATGTGGAAGAGGAACGTAGATGTACTGATAAAGGGTGATATTTAAGTTTTTCATTGTTATGTTTATTTCAATCTCTGTCTGTCTTCAGGGTTCAAACTGACCAAGTATATATGGATGATGACATATACAGAAAACTAGAAAATCAATCAAAGGAGATTGAAGAACTGAAGAATCAGTTAGCGGGTGTAAAAAAAATTTTCACTACAAATCAAATAAAAAAAATGAATAATCAGAAGGGAATTAAATGGTCAGTGAATGAAATTTCAAGTGCCATTGCAATGTATTCTGCAGGTCCTAGGGCATACAGGCTTAACTTGAAGAGGGGTTTTCCTTATCCAGCAGTTTCAACCCTGAAGCAATGGTTAAGGAAGATAAAGTTAGAACAGGGTATTCTAAAAAATGCATTGAAAATTGCTGAATTTACCGATATGTGTGAACGTGATCGCGTATGCATCCTTATGTTTGACGAAATGAAAATACGGAAAGAATACCTCTACGACCAGACAAAAGATTATCTAATGCAGCCCTATGATTATGTCCAGGTCGTTATGATTTCTGGCATATTTAAATCATGGAAGCAGCCCATTTTTTTTTATTTCGACTGCAAAATGACGTCGAATATATTAATGGCAATCATTACATTTTTGGAGAATTCCGGTAAAAATATGTGCTGTTTGATATAAAAACAAAAGACGACACGTCATCGGTGCACTAAGTTTATTTGGTATGAACACTAATTATATACTATATACAAAGAAAAATTAAAAAAGACAAGTTCGCACACCACACACTGCTTCGATATACAAGCACACACAAAACACCCGATAGAAAATATACAATATGACAAATAAATCGACAAGCACACACACAATGAAAAATATACAATATAAATAACCCCGACAAGCACACACACANGAGTGAGTCAATTCAATGTTCTGAGAAGGCAAAACGTCTTTTTTTTAGGTCGAGAATGTTCTTTCGAATCAAATCACTCAATAGATCATTACAGGAGAAAAAGGGCAATAAAAGAAAATGGACAAAAATCTTGTCTTAGTATGAAATTGTAATGAAATTTCACGACAAAAGTGTGTTTTCTTTATATTTGTAAACTACATAAAATAAGGTTTTCGAAAGTGTACCTATAACTATCGATGGGTGTTTTTTTTTTCTAGCTTGAGAAATATAGGTCATTAAAATCTAAAATTCCTTAAATACATTTATAAATCACAAGTTCTGTCGTCCTTGTTTTGCTTTTATCTTTTTGTAAGCTTATTATTATGAAGTGAATGACTGAATGAATGAACTGTAAGACTTTCAGGTCAACGATAATTTTATCTTTTGAATTAATCAAATAATTTATTTATTCACATTATTGAAAACTAGCGACCCGACCCGGCTTCGCCGGATAAGAAATAGTTATTATGGGTTTCTATGAGAGGTAGACATATCCATCCCGGACTTTTTTGTAGACCTTACTAAGGTGTACAATAGTGTAGTACATTATTTTGATCTATCTCGTAGTGTTCAGCCAGCGTTTGCAATTTAAGCACGATAAAATATGTTTATTTACTACATCACACTGGAAACCTCTAAAATTATGTGTTTCTCTACTATATTATGCATGTATTATACATATAAACCTTTCTCTTGAATTACTCAGTCTATTAAAAAAAAACGCATCAAAATCCGCTGCATAGTTTTAAAGATGTAAACATTATAAGGATAGACGGAGGACAGAACAGAAAACAGACAGACAGCGGGAAGCGACTTTGCTTTAAACTATGTTATGATGTGTTGTGGGGTTGTCAGGTCCTTTCTCACAGACAGAAGCCTTCGGGTTCGCGTTGGCTCTGTTCTCTCTGCCAGTAAACCCGTCACAGCCGGTGTCCCACCTATTCTATTCAACCTGTTCTTTGCGGACATGCCCTCCGACACATCCATTTTGACAACTCTCTACGCAGACGATGAGATGGACGAAATGTGTAACACTCGTTGCACATTACACGTTTTCGCCTGTGCGGGAATAAATCGTACGGGCAAATATTTTTAGTCTCCTATGAAGAGTATGGAGGTCTTTCACTGTTGGGTTTTTTATTTTAGGTTTCACACAGACTAATAAACCGTAACAGTTAAAAGATTTTAATTATAAAACGTAAAAACACAAAGAACATACAAAACGTAAACGAAACGTAAGTTTCTTACAATCATAGATGGTAGAACATGTTCAATAATACCATAGACATAACGAACTGTTCGTCATCTAGTCCATACAAAAGTAAATTAACTATTATATTCAAATTTACATTTAACACCTTCTCCACATTTTAATAAAAAAATAAAATCTACCCTATTATTTGTTTAAACTTTACACATCATCTTATTCTTAAAATAACTAAATTTAACACTATTTAAGGTTTTGTTAAAATATCAGCAATTTGTTCATTTGTTGCACAATATTCAATTTTTATGGTACCTTCTGACACTTTTTCATTTATAAAATGGTAGCTCACGTCTATATGTTTGCTTCTTTTGTTAAATTGTCCATTATTTATTAACTTGATGGCACTTTGATTATCCACCTTTAATGTAATTTTAATGTTACTGTTCAATAGTTCATCAATCACGGTTTTCAAAAACGTCAGTTCTTTAACACACTCCGCTGCTGCTATGTATTCCGCTTCCGTACTGGAAAGGGAAACTATGGGCTGTCTCCTTGAACACCATCCAATAGGTCCTCCACAAAACATTATAACGAAGCCAGTAGTGCTTTTCCGAGATACTATATCGCCGGCAAAGTCAGAATCACAGTATGCCACTATTTCGTTACAGTCTGAATTTTTGGTGTAACTAATACCATCTTTTTTATTTGACACTAAGTATCGAACAATGCGTTTTAAGTTAATTACATCCCGACAGGATGGATTGTCCAATTTTCTGCTACACATATTTACCGAAAAAGATAAGTCTGGTCTGGTCTTGTTTGTAAGATATAATAAACTACCAACAAGCTCTCTATGTGGGAAGCCTTGATTCTTCGGGGGTGTTTCATCTTCCTTGAGATCGTATTGCATCGGTGTTGACACAGGTTTTAAATTTTGAAATCCAAAATTCTCTAAAGTTGCATCAATGAAGTTTTCTTGTGATAAAGTTATTTTACTATTATCACATTTTATTTGTATTCCTAAGAACGAAGTAGGATTGTTACATAGTACCATTTCAAATT